CTCCCATACCTGAGTCAGTGGACCATTTTTATTCCATGAGAACACTGTGAAGACCTGTAAATTACCTACATATGCTTGAATCGTATCTCACCTTGGGGATATATAGCCCCGTGTGTTCTTTCAACAAGATGGGGCACAGACACACTGGGGAATAACGCCTTTGGATTTCTTTTTATGGGGCTACATGAAGGACAGAATATATGCAAAGAACGTTAATAACGTCACAGAATTAAAGAACCGGTTTTAAGTGGCACTAGCTTCCATCACGCAAGACACGCTTCTTAAGGTTTGGAACGAAATCATCTATCGCCTTGATGTTCTGCGTCCTACTGATGGGACTCACGTGGAAGTTTGCTGAATTCTGGTTTACTGAAGTATTAACTTAACTGTGGTAGTCTACGTAATTAAAACAAAAATGTCTTGAATTGTGTTGTTAAATACCGCAAACCGTTTTAAGATAACTCCTAAACTAACGAATGTATTAAATCTTATAATGGGGTGAATAATTTATGGACAACTTTATAATATAGTCACGGTTTTCAGATGCATGAGGCTCTATTACATTTTTTGGGTCATTATGTTTTGTAGTACAGAGTTTTAGGCATTGTTTACGGTGTATGGTGAGAGAAAAACACCTTATTGGGCCCTTCTATATGTTGCATTTTTCCTACAGGGGTAGGCAAACTGTGTGCCCAGGGGTGATTGTTGTGAAACAATGGTTCCCATTATTGTAACTCATAGTTGTGCAGCAATAGGAAGAGGGGTAATTGTTCAGTGCAAAATACTGTTCAATACTTTACACCCCTGTTTTAGTATACTCGTATTTTGCCCCCTGGAGGTAAATTGAGGTTTGATGGGAAACATGATTTCCAGTAGCCAGAGTGCACGGACCTTTCAGGCCGATTTCTCCTTTAAACTTGGTGTCTTTATCGACATAACCATAGGCTGCGATGGCACGTGTACAGAATGCACCAAAATCTAATCTGTATCTTCTCGAATCTTACCCATACTCTAACTGTTGTAATAAGCAGATTTATAAGTAGCAAAAGGATGGATGACTGGGGTGGTCTTATTTCTCAGCAGGCGGTCAGCTGCTGAAAATATTTTCACCTTTTTTTCCGTGAAGAAAATGTCTTTGGCGAATATTAAATATTTTATTCATATCGATATTGTTTCACTTAACTTTGACATACCTCGACTTCACAGACGTATTAGCGCTTCTCCTTTGCGCTCTAGAAGTTATGGGTCTGATTTTCACCTGTCGTCGCGGTAGACTGATTGGAACTTATTCGTTTTCCGGATATATCGGGTTTTAATCTCGGCCCAGAGACTAGTTATTATAATGGAGGGTTTTCATGGTTTCGCTCTGCTTATTAAATGCAATGGTGATACTTTAAATTAGTACACGAGTTATTTCTTTTATATATTATTTTATTATTCACTAGTTTTTCTAGTTTTGACGCTGTATAATTTGGGCTATTGGAAGTGTCGTTTAATAGGCTAATAATAAGTGTACCGGATATTGGATATCCTTACAATTTGGGGATATTCTGGAACAGTGACTGAAAATACGTCATGACCCATATTTTTCCTTTCCGTTAATAGTCACTTTTCTTAATGACAACATATTTCATCATGAAAACCGAAAAAATCCTTGTTATTCTTTCCATATTTAACCGAAATTTAAATAATATTCTGAACGGAAACCTTGAAAGTAGTACCACTCGGAAGACCAAGGAGTAAAAGGAAGGTTGATACAAAATGGGCCCCAAAGAGGGTATGGACTAGATTTATCTGATTCAGGTTGGAGTGAATCGATTAGCTAAGCGATTGTCAGCTTCTCGACAGCGACTCTCGAGTTTAATGAGATAGATTTCTGTCCTTTTTGTCATCATTTCGCCTGAATATTTGTTGGAATTAGTTGACGAAATCGTATCGTTTACATGTCTTTATACTTCGATCTCTTCCTTTGTTTGCTGATGTCTAGGTTTAGTTTTCCACTGTGTGGTTACAAGTAATTATTTAATGAAGTGACCATCACGCTGATCTTTCTTGCTGACGCGAGAAAACTCGTTAATTTTACGCCACCAGAAGTCTTAGCTTCTGCCAGTTATGATCAAGTTCGTTTCGTGGATATAAAAGTTAATGGGTTCATTGGTGTACGCTTTGATGCAGTCTTTTTTTTAGGAACAGAAGATTTCTCTCCTCCCCCTGCGTCGTATTGTACAGTTTTAGATCTTAGTACGCAGTACGTTAACCTGACTAACATTTGTATATTTGTTCTTTTTCGTTTATTTTAACTTAAGTTATTCTGGTCATGTCATGGGATTAATCACAAATTACAGCAATGAAGAATTGTTTGAGGCATGGGAGAAAATTCAAGTTGGTGCAGCTTGTACTAATTGTAACACATAACGTAAGGAAACGTTTATATCAAGTTTATTTCTATGCGCTTTATACACTAAGTTGGCTGCTTACTACAAAGCGTAGATTTCAAAATAATGTTTGCAAATAACATTCATTTTAATCAAAATGGCAGAACGGGCGCTGTAAAACGGAATCCTTGATGTTTAAACATTGTGACCGTAATCTTTTTACGAACAACTGAAGAAACAGTTAGGAATAAATTATTGCAATTAAGTACGGTTAATCTTGAGAAAGTGATAGTCTCTCAGCTATTCAAAAATGTCACTTATTTTGTGGAAACAGAAGGTTCATTGTCGTGTTCGTAAGAGCCCGCCACTGGACCGTATTCAGAAACTGTTGGGCTGTATGCAGTCTTTACCTTCACATTTTTTCTTCTCCAAGGTCGTCCGTTGAATATCGAGGTCTGTTCCCCGTTGCGTTTCCTGACCTGAATTATGTTTGCATTTCTTATTTCAAAAACTTTTTCTGTTCGGTTTCTGCAGCTTTTGCAATAAGCCTGCTTCTTCTTGTTATTTCTTACGTAGTTTAGCAGTTGGTTTAAGAATGGTGTGAAGTTAAACTGGAAAGGATGCTGAAGGAAGTGGTCGTGGCCGTTGGAAGTTAGTGTCCCAGCATTTTAAATGCCCACACACGTTCTCAGCCCGAGGCCTGTAAACGACTTAGGACTTTGCAATGTGAATCAGACGCTTTAACATCTAGTATCTGGCCTGGAAACTTCGCTCATTGCTGAAGAAGTTGTTACCTGGGGGTAGGAACTACCTGAATTGAGTAGGTTCACTACGGTGAACCTGAATTCAAACAAAACTTGATTAAGCAGAAAGTTAATTTAAAGGAAAACGTCTATATGTGCTCTCGTTCTGTGTTATCTCGCAAGCAAAGTTCTTCTTCTCTGTCCTGACTTCAAAAAGTATTTGTGATTCGGTGATTTGAATCTTCATAGGACAGTGGTAAATATTTTTCCCACCTGCTTTAAGATTTAACATATTTTTTTATCTTTCCTGTGGACTTCGATGATTTTATTATGTTCTCAGAATAAATACGTCATTATCTGACAAACTTGTAACATACAAGTGATGTTTAACTTGATGTACCATACCATAGGATATTTGTTATTTAGATTTTTATGAATTTTTTCCATGTGTTTTGGTACTTTTCATAGATTTTATTTGACTGTACGTGTTCTCCGTCCACGCTGTTTTATTATCTTTGTAGAGAATTTTATTCATGCAAAAATGATACTGTTAGGATAATCAAATCAAGAACGATTAGATAGTTTGCGCATGTAGCACGCGTAGGAAAAATAACAAACGCATAGAAAATATTGCTATAGAAATATCAAGGGAGCTGAAAATTTGTGAGACCTGTTGGTAGATGAGGTATAATATTAAAATGGGTCTTTATTAAAGGGGTGTTATGGTATGGACTGGATTTAGTTTCACCAGAATATTGTCTCATGTACGGGTTCTGTGGATATGATGAAATTTTTGACCACAGAAATGGGAAATTTTTCGACTAGTTTGATAACTATCAGCGTTTCAGGTATTAATCTGGGTTAGTTCCTTCCTGCGTTCTGTCTGCATGCCGGCTGTAATTGAAGTAGTGATTATTGTTTCAGCTGCTGGAGCTTTTGTAATCGGGAAGTCCGCTTCTTCATTTACCAATCACTCTGTTAAAGGTATTTCCTCACTTGATCCCAGGAATCTCAAACGTTCAGTTTCTCTTATTCTCCTTCCACTTGTGTATGTCTTTTGCGAGTTCAAATAATTATCGATCGTCGCCTCGATTACGTACGGCTTCCTCTTGGCTTTCCTTTTAGTCATCACACGGTCCTGTGGGTTTTAGCTTTCTTCTTTCATCACCTTTGCTTTGTGACTCTTAACTCGTTTCTCTTTTATGAAAAAGAAATAGAGTGTGATATAAATAATTTCATTGGTCCGTACTTATTTTCCACTTAACCTGTTGTAAAAAAAATCTGTCTTGTTATTCTTAACAAAGGCTTGCTGTAATTTAATGGCCTTCTAAATTCCTTTTAACGTATTTTTAAACATTTTTATTATTTGTTATTGAGTGTGGATGTTTACAGGTTCATTTATTGAATGAAGTTCATAGAATACCATTTCGTTTTCTTTAATGAAAGCAACAGCAGTTTCTATTCTGAATGCTTACGTGATATTAGACAAAAAATAAACTTGCAGTCTTTGACCTGAATGTATCTGCCGTCTCGTTTACAAACTTGTGTATGTACAATTCTTGGAATACAGTTAGAGGATTCACAACATTGTTGACTCATAACATCATTTATATTACCATATTTGCAGACATACGCGTAAATTATGTTATTACACATTCCCTTGTGAATAATCCGCAACTTAAAAGTCAACAAAACATATGCCAGCCAACAAATTTATGTAATAATGACATATAGGTTATGTAAACACAATACGAAGCCAGTCTTTTACATACTTTGCTAAATTTTCGTCAGTTCACTAAAAATAGTGTTCAGGGAACAGCCAGTCTTTTACATACTTTGCTAAATGTTCGTCAGTTCACTGAAAATAGTGTTCAGGGAAACACATCTAATAACTCATAATGTTTAGTTTTTTTACCTAAGTTTAATGGTGGTCTGAAAAAATCTTAATATGATTCGAGGTTCTCACAAAGATGACTCTTAACTGGTATAAGGGGATATGACGTAATATGTACTCGTAAGTAGATACCTCAAATCAACTGCTATCAGGTTCGTAATAAATCATAAATACTGATAAAATGTATTGCCTAAATGTAAGATTTGAGATTCGTACGGCGGCAAATATGAAAATGGCTATCTTTTGAAATAGTCTTTTTTTTAACAGGCTGTCATTTCCTAGGTAATGGATTATAGTGTTATAAAGTTTACTAAATATGAATGTAGGAAATTATTGAAATGTACCTGTAGTTGTAAGCATTTAGTTTGTGTATGATAAAAAATTAGATATATAGTTATTGAAATGAAGATTACTTTAAAAAAACCTGCCTAACATAGCTACGTTTGCTAGTTATATACAGATGTCACATAAGCTCGGGGCCACGTGCAAACTCTATTATTTGGCTAAATACGATATCACATAAAGAGGTGAATTTTGGGAATCACGTGTTTCCAAACTCAGGTGTTAGAAAATTTACGTAGGACGAATCGTTATGGCTCTACACTTTTTAAATCGTCACTATTAAAATGTTACGATGATGTTGCCGTGCTGTACCCCAAGAAATTAACTTATACGACCAGTGAACCGCCACAAACTCCTGTTTCTCTGTTGATTTTTTACAGGTTTCGTGGATCCGGAAGAGAGATCTTCACATTCTGACAGCCGGTATCCTGACCTACACTAGTGACGCAAGATTTCAAGTTATACGACCAGACAAATCTGATAACTGGACACTACAGATCAAATTCCCACAAGAACGTGATTCAGGAATCTATGAGTGCCAAGTCAATACGGAGCCCAAGATGAGTCTCCCTTTTCGACTCAACGTCATAGGTAAGGGTACACAGGGCCTTCAGTAGAATTTGTTTGTGAAGGCGTATAGAATACACGGAGGTAATATTTTATGCCTTTTCTCTAAATCGATATGTGGTTAGCTGCACGCTCTGGCCGCCCTGTTTTATCCTCAACTACAGGTTGAAATACGATTTAGAGTTTCTGGCTTTGTGTGTGACCAATTTGTTATTTTTAGTCATTAACCAATTTCCGAAACGTCGCGGCTTTAAATGTCTACGTCATACCTGCTGGGAGCCCACCCAGCCGCGTGTCATATGGCACAGTAGGCGCATTCACCAGGATCAATCTTGCTGAAGCGTGAAGCTGATTACTCAATTGTCCATCTAGTGTCGTATTCTAAACTCTATGGAGAATTACCTTGACGGAAGCAAGCTTGCTTATACTTATTTATACCTAAAGCTACTTGTAATCACATCAGAGTGCCCGTTATAGTAATAAAGCCCCGTATGATTCAGACAATGCGTCATTAGATGACAGCAGACAATATTAAGCGGTTACTCTGTGTATTATTCAGCAACACGTCAGTCCGCTGTAACACCAGTGTTTGTCTGATCTACCCCGTTACAGAGCCATCTCTAGTCCATAGCAGAAATTACTAATACAGCGTGTTGTTTCTCCTAGACTATGAGCTTTATCAAAGCTGGGTGACAAGCACGTGGATTAAATGATGGAAAAACTGTTGACTGGTTACACATCGCAGAAACTGATCGCACATTGCCTCGAGCGTAAACCATGTTGCAAACGAGGTTCTGGCGACCGAGTGATTGACTCCTGTTTCAGATGCACTTACATGCAACATTTGATAGTTGATATGATTTGTGCAACTTGGTCGGATTTCTGAAAAGTCTCAGGACCGTTATTAAAATTACGTCTAATTGACTTCTTCGTGCGTTACAAAGTAAAACGTATCGATATTTTACACCGAATATCGCGACCGAGTTATAACACTCCGCATTCGCGAGATCTCTATTCGGAGACAGATATACTGTGGTGCTATTGTTGTTCGGAGCTGTGACGCCTTGTAGACTCGTCGATAGATGCTAGAATATCGGAGAAACATACTGTCACCATCTTCCAACCCTGAAAATGGAGAAAGTGCGGTTCTCCAAAACGTTACTATCTGCCTACGAACCTACACGGCGTCACAACCCAGAAGAATAACATTGACATACTCAGAGAACCCCAAATCTGACAAAGATGTCCTGTGGGCGTTTTCGTGGTTTTCTTCAGTCCCTCCAGGTAGATACCGGAATAATAGGCCTACTTTTAATTAAGACACTGTCGCTTTCTTTCGTGTCCTTACCAGTTCATTAATCATCCCATCATTCGACAGTTCACAGCCTGAGCTACTGAAGGCATTCGTTTCTTTCGTGTCCTTACCAGTTCATTATTCATCCCATCATTCCACACTTCACAGCCTGAGCTACTGAACGCATTCTTAAACCACGAACAGTTCTTACGCAGTACAATTCTTTAATTGGGACCAATTATGAGGCATTAAAGTGCCTAGTTACGGGCTGAAATGCTGTGGTTAGATTAGCAGCAGAGATAGGAAATTATCTTACTTCTCCTCCTATAGACCGGCTCTGGAACCATTCTGCTGTTTCAGAGGCTCTTAGTAGGGATAAATCTGATGGCGTGCCATACTGATCTCTGACCTCCGTATAATGCCTAATTCCAGAAAGATTTTGGCATTATCACTACACCCCCGTACGTCTTCATGTTGTGATGACAAGACACATCGACACTTTATCTTTTAAATCCTTAGCGAGTGTTTTCCTCCCCGTTCGGCCTCAGTCTAGGAATTTATAGTACGTGTTGTTTTCTTTTACAACAAAATGATGGCCTTGGTGGTTAGGTACGTGGCAACCAAGCACTGATGCTTCAAATCATTTTAGCTGGAGCGCCGTTCTGAGGCGGCAACATCTACTGCACTTGGATACTGCGTGTAGTCTACACAAGACTTGAAAGGCGAAGATGAAAAAAAAGTGTCTAGTTGCGTGCTTGTTTTTGTAATTATTTCACACTATAGGCATATGTTTCCATGGAAACTTATAACGTATGGTGATCGAGTTATCTTGTACTTAGTATCGGAGAGGTCGTGGTACAGTTTCCATTGAAGAATTTACAGTTATTCAGATGATCTACATATTTTGTAGTTTCTTGTAACTCGAAATTCCGTCTTTAACGATGTAGTTAAATCCAGTGTAGTTCTTCACAGCCTCTTCTAAAAGAATTTTAATTTTTTCCTCCCACCTACGCTTAAAGGTCCCACTTTCTCCCTTCTGTTATCACTTTTTATGTTCTTTATGCCTGTTTCGTAACAAACTGAATCGAAAAGAGATAAAGAAACATAATATTTCTGAAAACTGCGTAACTAAGGATTAAAGATTTGTGCTATTCTTCTAATATTTTCAATAAAATTTGATTGGCAGGGCATGTGGAATGTATAGTAAATGCGGTACATCTTTGATTCAGAAACCTCAAGAGAAGAGTCACTAGTTTAAACTGCTTTAATATAGAAGGTGGAGGCAGCATGTTCCTTCGGGACTTTGTTAAGAACCTAAGATCACGATTTAAGCTTTGACTGCCGCCATTATACCACGGTTCATGTGTCTTATAATATTAAGATGGCGGATTTACTGTGAACACTGTAATGAAGTTTAGGATCCTTAACGCTGGAAATTTCTTTATCAGCCGAATGATTGTTAACTTTTGAAACAAGACGCAATACTGTGAAATGTGTTTGGTTCGTTTTTTGGTTGGTTACGTAGTTAAAATGGAATGTTTTCACGGCGACTAAACAGAATAAATTCTTCTAGGGCTGTAAGTCAAACCTGTCTAATTTATGACTCGAGAAATCTTCTTTTCTTGCAATTATTTGCTGGGTTAGTTGGTTAGTTGACTCTGTGAGAACTAACTGTATGTAAATTATCCCTTTCTCTACGGGAAGAGTAAAGAACAAAGTGAAAATATTTCGTGCTTTGTTGATTTCGAACTCGGAAGGGTCTCACACTGTGATTAACTACAGAATCAACGTTCGTGCCAGAGAACTATTTTTTCGACCCAAAGATCAGTAAAAACAGCTCCCATTTCTTGGCGCCCGGCCACTTCTCTGTGAGTCAGTTTTCATTTGCTGGAAAGTATGACTTTTGCGAAGAACAACATTGGACTTCGCGATTACACAGGAGGGCGTCGGACAGGCAGACGGACTGAGAAAACAAGGTGGCCTATCCATGATCCCTGGTTCGTGTCTTAGTTAGTCAGTCATTCTGTTTGTTTGTTTGTTTTCTGTTTCGTATTAAGAATGTCTTCGAACCTCAGAGGGAAGACTATTTTCTTTTGACGTTTTTAATAGATCTTTTGTATCCCTTCAGATAAACGATAGGATGTTAACTTGTTTGTTTGTTTATATAACATCATCTAACCGAGTATTATCTTATGTAGCGTGTGACAAGAAGGTGGCTGTGAATAATGAATATAAAGGACCTAGAAGGAAACGGTCCGTGGCCTTATTTTAACGAAATATCACAACATTCATTTGTAAATGCTGAGAAAAACCACGAAAGTAAGATGTTTAAAGGAAGAAAGAAACAAAAATAAGGCATGGAAAATTAAAGACACAAAAGATAAAGGAAAATTATTTCTTCTCTCAGTGCAGCCGGAAGAGCTGTGCTTTTTCCGAGCCATGTTCTCAAAAACAAACTTTCAGGCGGGTTCCTTGGGGAATACTAGCAGAGGACAACATAACACGCGGATAGCGGTCAATGTCATGCCACATGTTTCAGATCGAAACAGGAAAATTGTAGATCATGTCTCGTAAACAGAAGTCACAGAGCCTTCGAACACATGAAATTCATTTTTGTATATTCACAATGCATTAAATTTTATTTAATTTTAGTAAAAACTGCGAATGTAATTCGGTGTCAAATAAATACATTTGAAACCACGTATAAGGAGGATATTTGCAGTGCAAATAATGATGTCGCCATGGTAACGTCATAAGAGACACCGAATAATTAATTATTGAATTTCCATGGATACTTGTGAAGTTTAAAGGTAAATTCATCGAACCAGTACAGTAGTGCAACAGTTTTATCGCAGTATAGATAATGGTAGTCTAATCGAATTTTTGTTTGGCAAATTGTTAAGACAGTGTGTTGTTAGAAGTAACATCTTTCTTGTATTCTCTTGTGATGTCATCAGCTACTACGCCAGGCTGCTTCGTTATGATCGTTATGATGATGTTTGCGTGGCTGTCTTATTCTGATGTTTGTGCAGTTTGCCTTACCACCAAAGCTGTCCAGCTGGACTGTTGTAATTACAATGTACGTTGTATAATGGTCGTCGCATTTGAAACCGTGTTCCGTGTATCTGCGGACACTCACACCCAGCCACCCTACCTTCAGCTAAACGCGCTGCTTGTATCTGCATTGTAACGAAGCCAAATTTTTACCGTAACAATCCAACCCACATTGTTTGTTCGTCATTGGCACATTATAAACTCTAAGTGTCCCAATCAAGATCATCTATTATCATCATTTACCAGTCAATAAGTTGGGACAATTTGGCCCCTTCCTGTCTGAATTTTCCACGAGGTTCTTTAACCCTTTGAAACCCAGTGTCCCACCGGCTTCAGTAATAATTTACTCTGCGTTTTGTATGGATGTTTCGTATGATTCTCAGAGTAAACGAGGATTATATCCTTAACATTAAGCAGTTGTTTGTGATGGTGAAGAGTTATTTTCTTTTGGGTATTTATTGAATTCTTAAACATTATTTACGTGAGGGTTGACTTCATTAATTAAATACATGCACTTGGATCGGCAGTTCAAAACGTCATTCCAAAATTTTTATATTCGTAGACCAATTAGACAACGTTCCACAGAGCTAGAAAATTTCACAGCTGTCCGTCTCCGCTTCATCAGAATTATTGCGGAGATTCTAGACTGTGGACTTTCTGACGCCGTGTAATCATC